CTCCGGCTGCTTCAAATTTAAATCGCTTTATCTGCTGGCGCCGCGTTCGAGCGAATTCATAATGAATATTATCGCAGGCAAGGTACATATGTGAATGGTAAGGCATTGCAAAACTCTTACTGTTTGCCGGAGGGTGGCAATTCCTTACCCCGTCAGTCATATATATGTACATATATATACATATATACATAAGTATGTACATATATGCATATGTATACCCTCTGTTCAGCCGTGACTGACGAGCGGGGAGAGAACTGAGTTACAGTTGCTTCTTCTCTCATTTCTTTGCATATTTTCTTTTACTTTTTAATCCGTTTATCGACTGTCGGCTAATGAGATTCTCTTATTCCATACGCTGTGAAGAGAGTGCGGCGGCAGAGGAATGCACCAATGCACCGCCACGGATGATTATGTGCTAATTACATCGAATGCGCACATGGCAATCCGAGCAGAAGAGTCATGCGGGGTCGGATGTTGTGCACAAAGCAAATTCGGGTTCATTACCTCCGCCCCCTTAACTGACCCTGCATGATCAGAGGGGAGGTGTTAGAGGTTCGGTTCCATAACACCCCTCCAATCACACCACATTCCGCAATACAAGAATAAACAATATTGAAAAGCTGACATAATGCCCGCATTAACCGACAAAACCGACGGCGAAAAATGGCAAATATTTGTTGCGGAAAGTACAGTATGGAAAAGAGGGAAACTCTGGAAGCGGGAAACAGAACACGGAAAACAGAAGAAGCAACCCGCAATAAGCCGTGGAGGAGGAGCGGGAAAAGCGGAATGAAAAAGCTGTTCTATATTTGGCAGCCGGCATGCGTGGGCGTGGGCGTGGGCGAGGGCGAGGGCGTGGCTGAAACGACAAACAGAGAAATTGTGCTCTGAATGGAAATACTGCACATTTTTATCGTTCGCAATGTTGACTCAGTTGGGATAGTCCCCTCCTCCGTGGGAGATGAACCTGTATATATCATCCCACTGACTCGGACTCTGACGATGACTCTTCCCTCAGCTGTTGGCGGGGGATATTCATTGTAGTATCGATTGGGGACCTTTTGATTGATTGATTGATTGTCTCATATTTTTTGGTTATCCGCGGCCAGTGACAAATACGTTAAATTTCCCGCCCATCGATTATGCCCCCTGAAATGGTGGCTGGCGAATTATACACACATAAAAACGCTCGTCAAGTTGCCAGCATTGTCTTGGCAATGACCCAGACCCCCACCCATTGATTGGGTGGCACTTGAGCACCCGCCAATCTGCTCGCCTTTCTTTTTTTTTTTGGCATTGCGTGAAAATTGCCGGGAAATTGCAGGCTCATCGGTAAACTCGAGTGGATAATATGAGTTATCGAAACTGCCGGAGAGACTCTCGAGTGGCATGCTACAGAGCTGTTCCTGTGCATCTGTCCAGTGTCAAGTACTCCTCCATTTCATGAGGGGCAGCGAAGAGGCCTCGATCGATATCGAAATTCAATATCAATTGAAAGAGAAGCAAACAGAGAAATGCATTTAAATGTGCTGCAAATTGAATCAAGTTTCCGCGGGGGGCACTGTCAGCGAGACCTTTTCCCAATTGGAATAAAGTCATAAACAATTTGCATCAAATGCAAAACAAACGAAAACGCCACTGGAATGAGGACAATGACAGTACGTGGTGGAGAGCACCGGAACGTGGATAATTTAAGCCCATTTCATGTGACGTGTTAAATGAATTTTCATCGGAATCCCTGAAACTGAATTAAGTCCGCGTGTCCTGCCAACGTGTGCCCACGTGCCTGTCGGAGCAGTGGATTGTGCTCATTTTACATAACCTGAAAGGTTGCCAAGGCTGGAAGAGAGCGGATTACGTACAGTTCCGCCTGTCCTCCGAGTATGGTATTCCCTCGTCTAGCACACACACTCAACTCCACTCCGTTGAGTAAGCCGGGGAAGACGGGGTTCAGGCGGTTCTTTGCACAATACAAGTTTTTCCCCTCCACCCGTGCAATTAGCAAACAATCCGGGAATGAAAAATTGTGCTTAACGCGTAAAATGCATTATGTAAAATAATGTAAAAGGCTCCAAGAGCAGTCCAAAGTACGCTGGGATATGGGTCGGATATGGGAAGGTATCAGGTTAGCCCCATCCTCTTTTAGGGTCAACCGCAGAACAGAATGGTGCTGAAGGAGGGGCGGAGGATGGATTGCGTTGCTCCAGGGCCCTGGAGGGTCTGCTTGCTTACTCATGCATGTGTATATGTGCATATGTCGGAAATTGTAACGATTACACGCCGGACACACACAGGAAACAGCGTAGGCAACCAACCATCCTTTCCTCTCTGGTAGCTGCTTCCCCTTCTCTTGCTGATCACCAGCTATTGATTGGTTCGGTCTCGGATTGCTTTTCCGCAGCATACATTACTGGTGGGAAATACTCGTTTGTTTTTCCTTTATGCTGGGGCTGAGCTGGAGCATTTTTCATAATAATTACACGCTGAAGGGCCGGCCGGCCGGACATAAATGGCTTTTTAATTTATCGCCGCTTAATGGCCTTTAGACAATGATTTAATACATTTTTAATTAAAATAAATATGGAGAGCGGCGGCAGGAATCAATCGCCGTCAACTCCAATGGACGAGGACCCTCCGGGGCAGGCAGTCCTGTAATTGAACCCCAAATAAGTCGTTAAAAGTTTGTTTGCCATGACTTTTGCAGTCGGAAGTTGCACAAGCAGACGCTCACTGCGCCACCGCCATCATCTGCTGCCTCTTCTGCATCTCCCCCACTTGGCTGCCACTAAAACTAATGCCTGCGCTGCCACCCGAAGGCGGGAGGGAGAAGACGTTGACGTTGGCGCAGCTCATTATAAATTTGTTGATGCTGCATATCTTGGAGCTGTGGGTCTGTCTTTGAGGGATAGTAGGATAGCAGCATAGCAGGATGTGCTGCGCTCACTTCCTGACAGGCATCGGAGCAGAAGCAGCTTCTCCGGTTCATTCTTGGCTTCTGCATATCAGCAGCTTTTTATGCTTACCACAGCTGGGGCAAGAGCAGGAGCAGTAAGAGAAGAAGTAGTAGAGAGTCCCGCCTCAGCTGCTGCCTCAACACATTTCATTTTCATCTATGCTGCCAACAGGCAGCAGACAGCACCCGCAGGGAACTTGTCTAAAAATCACGCATAATTTATTTACCATAAACAAGACGAACAGAACAGTAGAACAAGGAGAGCCGACGATGGCCTCTGCATGACAAGTCGTACGGAGAGGCAGTGGGGATGGAAGAGAGGCAGTGGAATGGAAGGAGCGCACGCCTCCTGCTGCTCCTCCTGCTAAAAAATATGCAATACAGTTTTTGGAAGCAAGCCCAGATTGCAATAACATCAAAAATGCAACAATAAGGAAAGAGAGAGAGGAGGAAAAACAGTGGAGGAGCAATCAGCGTGGTATACAAAAAGAACCTAAGCACGATTGAAGCTGCAGCGCAATAAAAATCGCTTTATCTTCATTAAGTCGAGCAAGATATCATTGCAACTGGACCCACCCCCCCTTACACACACACACATGCACAGATACAGACAAATAACAGGAGAAACAACAAGGTAGCCACAGCCAGAAGCCAGAGCCAGTGCTGAAGCCCCATCCTGGCTAGCAGCCACAGCATTGAATAATAAATGCAACGAAAATAAAAATAAGAGCTCCTCCACCTGCTCCTGCTCCTCCGAATCCGAAGGAGGCAAAAGCCAGCAAAGGAGCGAAGCGAAGACAGCCAAGGGATGGGGTTGAGAAGGGGCAGTACAGTATAAAGTACATGACGCAGGGATAAATGGTGGAATCATGTACACGTACACCCACACACACACACTTGCACACAGACTCACGTCAAGGATAAACAGACCCAGCCGGATGGCAGGTGAAGGAAGGGATAAAAGGACGCCAGAGCCTCCGAGTAGATACATGCATTGTTGCCACAGTGTGTGTGTGTGTGTGTGTGTGTGTGTGTGTGTGTGTGTGTGTGTGTGTGTGTGTGTGTAATCGAATACTCTGCAGCTCCTGCAGACCCTCAAGGCTGATGCTGCCCACTCCCCGTAGGCTGAGGGCTGACAGGGAGGCCAGGCGGCTCGAACCAGAAGTAAGCGATGCGAAATTATTGCAACGAGCGCCGAAGTGGAAAGCCAGACGCGCGGCTGCTATTAAATGGAATCCAATGGTCACAGTGGCAGCGCCATGGCCAGCAAATTCCATTTAAGATCTAAGGGGTGGTGGGTAGGGGATGTTCGGTTCTGGTCTGATTACGATTACAAAATGAGAACAAGGCAGACACATCCAACCATCCCCGTGGCAAAGGTCAAACAGATTGAAGCTCTATAATTGACTGTAATTAAATCTCTGTTCTGTCCCCTCATCATCTCCACTAACTATTGCTGTGGGGTTACCCCTCCCCACCCCCTCTTATATGAGAAAACCAATTTAGCTCAGTTTTCCTCTACGAAAGGAGCATTTTAATATTCTTATCAGGCGTTGACGATGATGACGGTGCACCTCCATGATGGTGCCCCATTTTATTGTTCTATGCAAATAGTACGAACGGAAGGGATGCGATGGGATACGAAGGAAGGGTGGAGAGGGGATGGAATGGGGGAGTCGTCGTGGTTACAATGAATTTTTATGGGCGAACGCTTGCTAAAAATTTATTGAAAACGAACCAAAATATTTGCATGAATGAAGATGAACAGCGATGGGATGTGGGATGGGCAGGCACCCTGCCGGCCCAATTCGTTGCCCCGCAGATGGTGCAGGTGCAAGTGTGCTGCCGTTACAAGCCAATGAGCAGGGATTGCAGCCATCATGGTATTCCCATCATCACTTGGAGAGTACTTTCATTGCCATTGTTCCATTCATTCCTTACTCATTCATTATTCACAGCCCAATTCGTGATTTGTGATTCGTGATTCTCGATTCTATATGCAGTATCTGATCCCTCCTATTCCCCTTTCCATTCTTTGCATTTGCAGGCGAAACGAATACAGAGCAATGAGCTGGCCGCCATCAAAGTCATAAAGCTGGAACCCTCCGATGACATACAGATCATTCAGCAGGAGATCATCATGATGCGTGACTGCCGTCACCCAAACATCATCGCCTACTACGGCTCGTACCTGCGGCGGGACAAGCTCTGGATCTGCATGGAGTTCTGTGGCGGCGGCAGCCTTCAGGACATCTACCAGGTGACGGGGCCCCTCTCCGAGAACCAGATCGCCTATATGTGCCGCGAGACGCTCAAGGGCCTGGAGTATCTGCACTCCATGGGCAAGATGCACCGCGACATCAAGGGCGCCAACATCCTGCTCACGGAATACGGGGACGTGAAGCTTGCCGACTTCGGGGTCTCCGCCCAGATTACGGCCACGATCAACAAGCGGAAGAGCTTCATAGGTGAGTGGCTGTCAAACTTTATGCATCCTCTGCTCTGGCCCAGGCCCCCCTTCCTCTGGCGACAATCTGCTGCAGCTCCCAGGAGCAATTTGCATATCCTCGATTCGTTCTGAGGAAGGCATGACTGATGAAGCATCTCTCCTCTGCAGCAGTCTGCCATTCGAGTTATGCAGATTCACAGATCAATTTCGATTCCGATTCCGTTGGAGGACATGCTGCTTCAGCACGTTTTTCGTTTTGGCAGACGACAAAGACCACAGGGTCTGGAATCTGGGGCCTGTGATGGGGGGGGAAAGCTGCGGAAAACGTTTTGCGCCAAGGACATCGACAACCAACCAAGAGAGTCGGGGATTCAGTATTCGAGTTAAAGATGGCCGTGTAAATAGATATGGAAATGGGATGGTGGGGAATGCACAAAGTGTTTATCATCATGGGATACTGTTCTGTTTTCTGCGAGCAGTCGAACCCACTCGGGCGGGGGCAGAGGACTGTCCTGACAGCGGCAACAATTGCGTTTAACGCTTCTCGACTCTGGACGCTCGACAGAGAGGTGGAGCTGTCAGAAATGACAGAGCACAAATAACCGAAGGAAAACTTGAAAACCGAACAACAGAAAAAAGGGCGACAGAACAAAGGATGTTTTGGGAGTACTCGCACTTAAAGCGAAACGTCGAGCTCTACTTAAAGGGAATTATTCGAATCTCTGATGTCAGTGGGGGCACTGTGGGGTACTGTGCTGTGCTGTCCCCCGAATTGAATGCAATTCAATTAAGAGTGCGCATAATAATAATGGATCCCGCAGAAGGAATTCTAAAATATTATCAAAATGCTATAAAGGCATGCGGTGGGCGATGGTTCTAGGGTCCGGACAATGCAGGAGCCACCAGGGGGGAACAATTCAATTCACAGGATACTTCAAATGCAGACGGAGATGCAAGGTGGAGGCGAAGGAGGGCGTCCGACAAAAGTAACCGAGCGCCCAGCAGGTGGCCTGGTCTTTGTTTGGTATCCTGCTGAGGATATGGATGGGGATGGAAAGGAATGGGAATGGAATCCTTATTGTCGACCAAAACTGAAGCACAAAAGCAAATAATTTTTTAAAAATGTCCCCAATTCGAGAATCGTTGGCCGACTGGTGCGTCTTAGTTTTGTGGATACGAGTGTTTCTTTTGTGGATCCTTTGCAGCAGTTGCTCTGGCTCTACTCGAAGCCCTCTCCTCTCATCTCCCAATGGCCGAATGCCACTTCAGCTGCTTAGTTTGTTCTGCACTTGGAGATTTTTCTGTTCTGTTCTGTCTGTTTCTTTTCTGCTGCACTGAGCGAAGTTAAGCGGCTTTCAGGACCCCACAGAGGAGGAGGGGCTGCTTAATGGCGGACATGTGCAAGCGGATGGGGGTTATGGATGCTTTAAAATGCTTGCCAGGGGCTTTAAGCAGAAACCCAGGCGAGAGCCGACGATGGGGCCATGCGTGGCATACGCAATTTGAATGTAAATAGCAGTTTATCAGACAGCAGAGCAGTCACCGTGTGGTGGGGGAGGTGTAGAGGAAGAGTGTCTGCCACTGCCTCTCTCTGTGTAGTTTGTCATGACAACTTGCAATCTGTTGAAGCGCAGAAGAAGCAGCACAATGATTGGCATGAGTCGCCCGGAGCTCTGCTCCACACTTCCACTCTTCTACCTATCCATGACTCCTTTGAGTTGTGCGCTGTGCGACGTCATCGCAGTACTTTTAAGACGTGGAAAATGGGATTTTGCGGTTACCCAACTTACCCGCCTCGTCAGCTGTGTCCTCGCATCTCACAATTAATTATTTCAAATGGCTTTCTTTGCACTTAATTAAAAATCCGTGACCTCACCCCTTCGGGTGGCCTTTGACACTCTCCGGCTAATTAAGTTATGACAGCTGCCTCCGCCACTCCTCACGCGCAACGAGTAGGTGGTGCCCCGGTCTTCCAGCCCCCACAAGGACGTGGATTAGAGTCCTCGAGCCAATAAAAGAGGAGCCTGCCAGAGTTCATGACATTTTGAGTTGCTAGGGGCGTAAAAACGGAATCAGATTTGATTTAATTTACGCCAAATTGGATTTATCCGCATGGAATACGTTCCTCTCTGCTGGGCACTTTGACGCTCCCCGACAAAGCAGTTTAAGTTTTAATGCCGTCTATTGTCCTTTGTCTTTTGAGCCTGGCTGTCGTAAAAGAGGTCGTCCTCAAACTCTGCCCCATCTATGGCTATCATAAATTTCTCCAAGCGCTAATTTGATTTCTGATTTATACGAATGGACAAGTCTGATGGCTTCGTACATCGTGGTTCGTGGTGTGTGATTAATGGAATGCAATTTGTGCAGCCGGTAAGAGGGGGATTGTGGGGATGAGACTCTCATCCAAGTTTAACGACCTTGAGGTCACTCTCTGTCTCTCATTGCAACACCCTGTTTCTTTGTTGCCACTTTTGGGTGCATTTTCATGATATTTCAAAGCTGAGCGAGAATCTTTTGTGGCACATGTCAATGCAAGAGCAGAGAAGGATGGGGAGCCAACGAGTGTGCAGTGCAGATGACAGCAGGAGAAGAAGGGTGCTCGTAGGTGCTGTCTAGGACATGTTTTTGTCTGCCTGTCTGTCTGTCAGTGTGTGCGTCAAACAATGTGACGTCCGCTTACTGTTATCACTTGGAGTGGTTCCCCCCATTGTTGTTGATGCTGCTGCTGCTGTTGCTGTTGCGACTGCTGTGACAAATGTGGTGATAAGTACACACACTCCCTTCCTCAGACATCAACACGTCCACGACCACGGTCCCGTCTACCATTGTCTGTATTTCGCTCGCTGTCTGCACAGGAAGCCGCAGACAGAACGGAGGTCAGCTTCGAATGGCTTATGCCTTATACGATATACCATCGCTGAGCCCTGTTCCTGGATTGCTCCAATGGCAGGAATATACTCTCGTATGGGTGGAATCCAAGTGAGCTCATTTCGGTTGCACATTTCCTGGCAAAGCAGACACTCCCTCGCCAGTGAAGGGTATGCCACGGAGGATCTCAAGGCGGGGAGTGGAGGCTGGCGACAGCCTGACGCTTTTATTATTCAATAAAAAGGTGCTTACGTTTGTGTTTAGTGTCATTAACGAGTCAATGGCAACAAACGATGAGCAGAAGAAGAAGAAGTAGATGCTTCCACCTCGTTGGCACCGAGATGTGGCAGCCACCCGCGCCCATTACCATCCCCTGCTCTGCCTGCCTTGCCACTGTGGCACAGCCGCAGTTATGCCATAAAGATGAATGTGAATGTGTGGGTGGGTGGGCGCGTGTTGTCTTAATGCCTCCCAGGACGCGAGGCTGACGGAAATGCGTCTTGGCATTAAATGGGATGCAGCCTGAAATCCTGCCAAAGCAGCATTCCGACCATTTCCCTCACATCCTGTACCGTTCTTTATTTCCACTCACTCCGTACTCCGTACTCTCCCTCTCTCGTTGCTTTTTTCAGCAATTAACAAAATGATACTTGAATTTCTCTTGCCTCGTGTCACTCTGCGGTTGTATTTGCATTTCTGTATCCCAATCCGAATCTGTTTCTGTATCTCAGGCCGTATATCTGTGTGTCTGTGTATTCGTGTATCTGCTTGTGTAGTGCCTTTAATTAAAGTGTGCGGAACACTTGGGTGAATTCTTCATCGATGAGCTTCCATTCCGGCTCGGTTCTCTATGGAGAGTCCCCTCCAAAGCAGAAACAATGCCGAGGCCCGGGCCCACACCGAGACCGAAAACGAAACCAGAACCGAGGCTAAAACTTCCACTGGCAACAGCAGCCTTGGCCCCATCAAGGAGCAGGCATTAAACTTGATTTTCTACCTTCGTTGTGGCTTAATTAAATTGAAAATACAATTAACTCTGAGTTCGTGTTCGAGTTGCTTCGCTTTGGCGGTGGCTTTTCCTTTTCCCATCAGGGGAGATGAAAATTCATTTCAGAGAACATCAGAGAAACTGCTTCAACAGATGCTGCTCACTCGCTCCTTCTGGATGGGCGACATAGTTGCCTGGCTGCAACATGGCGTATGAGTAATGGACGCATTAGCCTCCCCTCCACACTCCACGTTCCCCCTCCAGGATCATAAAACGTGCGCCCGAAATGAAGCGCAAAATGTGTCCCTAGACCCCCGCCTCGTGCTCTGGTCCTGGTCCTGGTCTGCTCTGCATAATTCAGCAATTTGTTTATTTGCTCAATTGGCAGATTGCACGTAAAAAAGCTAATTAAATTAAAAACAAAACGAATGCAAATGCGTATGCGTATGAATAAATGACATTGCAACATAATCTGAGGCAATGAAATTAAATGTGTGAATGTTGCATATTTAGTAGGAACCGCTCGAAAGTATTGATTGCGCTGTGTTAACCTGTCCTTCACCGCTCTCTTCCACCCGCAGGGACACCCTACTGGATGGCTCCGGAGGTGGCCGCCGTGGAGCGCAAGGGCGGCTATAATCAACTTTGTGATATTTGGGCCTGTGGCATAACTGCAATTGGTGAGTACTCTCAGGAATGGCCCTCTGTCGCTCTGACGCTAAAGTTTGACCCTCTGCAGAGCTAGCTGAACTCCAGCCACCGATGTTCGATCTGCACCCGATGCGAGCCCTGTTCCTGATGTCGAAGAGCGGCTTCAAGCCGCCCACACTGGGCAACAAGGACAAGTGGAGTCCCACATTCCACAACTTCATCAAGACGGCGCTGACGAAGAACCCCAAGAAGCGACCCACCGCCGAGCGCTTGCTGCAGCACCCCTTCGTCCAGTGCGAAATGTCGCTGCGGGTGGCCAAGGAGCTGCTCCAGAAGTACCAGAGCCCCAATCAGCAGTTCTACTACTATCTCGACGGCGAGGAAGAGGTAAGAGAGCACCAACTGGTCATTTCTCCACCGGATGGTCGTGGAGGGGGAGAGCAGAAGCTGTAGATGGTGCTGGTACTGGCACCTTTTGCGTAATTTCTTTACGCTTTTAGTGTTGGCTCGTTGACTCGTTCCATTTATCCCCTCCCTCTCCACCACCATCTCTTTCCCACTTTCTCACTCTTTCTCTTGGACCCTGGTGGCTATTTACTGAGCTTACCTGCCTCGGGGAGAGCCATCCACTTAGAGACCAAGGACCAAGATTGCTTCTGTTTTCTCAATAACATAGACATCTGTCTAGACGGCCAATTCCGGCCCAAACTTATTGAACGACAAATGCTAATGCAAATGCAAAATCAAATTTAAATTTAATGGGCATCCATTTTAAAGGCATTTCCACGCCCCACAGCATCAGTAAGCTGTCTTTTCTGGAAAAGGGGCGGGGCAGGGGCTTGTCAAGTCATAAATCTTCAATTTGTTTGGATATTTTGCAAACTTTGAATGAAAGCCTGCACGGGAGGATGGGCCTACCCCTAGTAGCGCCTTCTGCTAGACGAAGTAGATACTTAAATTTTACTTAGCCCCCACGCCGCACCAGACCCACACCACCCACATTCCACACTTAACTTGGGAAAGTAACTCATGATGCTCAAAAATCCCAATATGATTTTGATTTATGAGATTTTATCGCAGGCTGAAACTTTGCGACTGCAACTGACTGACGATGGAACTGATATTGTCGCCTCTTTAGCGTTATCCTCCTGTATCCTAACGTGTCTCCTTTCTATCTCCCCCTTCCCAGACGGTGGCCAGTGTTCCGCAGCGGATTCCCAGCAAGATGACATCACGCGCCAATGGAGTTCCAGCCCAGAACCATACGCTGAAGACAGGCAAGAGTCAGAGAAGTTTAAATTTTCTGCCATTCGCTAATTATCCCTCTCCCACAGCCATGACGACAAACTCCATGTGGAACGAGCGATCCTCTAGTCCCGAGACGTTACCCAGTGACATGTAAGTGCTCCCTGCAGCGCGATACTCCCGTATACACATATCTCTGCCTGAACCTATGCTACAGTTTGTCCTTTATTTCTTAAGTACTTGCGAGACTACTGGTTCACTTCGCTTCAGTTTGGTAATTTGGTTTCAGTTCTCACTCTCACACACACACACACACACACACACACACACACACACACACACACACACACACAGACACTACACGAAACCCAAAGTCTCGACACGCAGAAACCACATATAAACACACACTCATACACTTGTAGAGTCGGAGAGGAGTGTCCCTTCATCCATCAGCCATGGATCCCATTGTTATCCACCTGTCTGTTTTATCTTCTTTTGTAGTCCCAGTGCCGAGCGATCAAGGCCAAAGTTAACGGGCACCCTGATTATGAACATGTCCTTAAGGTTAGCGAAGGCTTCTTCCAGCCGCTCCAGGTGGGGAGGGGCAGGAGCACTCCCACTCTACCCACCTCTGGGCGTTCATGGCGCTGCAGCGCGCTAAGCTTCCGCGGCGTGTTAATTTCATGTGGCAGAAGTGCAGAGAAGCAACATAACTGTGCACTGCCTCGCCTTGCCCCTGCATTGCATGCTTCTCTTTTTATGCTCCGCCTGGCTGCTCCCCAAAACTCGGGGCATGCCCCGCCGCAACACGCGCGTTGTGTAATTTGCCCGGCTTACAACTTTCCACAGTCAATTTTTAGCTGCACGTATCCCCAGAGCTGTGTTTACTTTCCTATTTTGCTGAATTTTCATGTGTATTGCAGTTGCAGTTGCACACGCTTGCGCTTAGTTGCAGCTACGTGCCAGAGCTCTCGCAGGGTCTGTCCGGGCTATGAAACTTGTGAATTTTTCATCCATTCCACGGAGGAGTGAGCCATAGTCCGAGCTCGCGTCCGAGCCAGTTTTCGGAGTGTGCAGAAATAATTGCGAGCTGGCTGCCAGGATACATGGTTCCCAATGGGAGCTTCAAATTTGTGAGCTATTTAATTGGCGTCCAGGCCAGGACTAATTATTATCCCGGACCTGTACGGAGACGGGGTACCGATAAGTATAATGCAACATAATAATAAGCAGCAGAACAGGTGGAAAAAACGGAAGAGGAGACAGCGACAGACAGATGCGGCAGCATAAGTTTTGGAGAGGTTGAAACTATAAATAAATTGAGTTCGAAGAAAAACTTTCTTGAGAAATCAATTAACTACGGAACGAAGTAGTGCAGCGGCACAAAGGATGTCACCCAGCATACGCCATATCGTCCGCAACTTCAAGAGAAGTGTCACGGATCGGGAATGCCACGAAACTCTGGCTGATGGGCCATTTGTCATATTAAACGATTACACATTGTTGCCCTCTGATAGCGGACGGCAACGAGAAGGCACCCGCCTAATAAGCCAACCCCATCAAGGGGCAGGATGCAAAGTGCTCGATGTGAGTTATGTGGCAAACACTTTGCGGCAGCCGCCACTTGAGCGGCGTCCCAGACAACAAAGCCAGAGTCACTTTGTCTATATGCACACGAGTAGTACTCATGAGAGTAGGTGCCCCTGCCACTCCCACAGAAAGCCAGCTCACGCGCTGTTCCGCGATTCTGCTGCCCAATTTTATTGAAGCCATAAAACCCATTGGTTTCGCCCATTTGTATGTACTGAGGGAAGCTCACAAGCGCCAAGCGACTTGCTGGCTAAGTGCCACACCCACGTTTCCGCTGAGTGGCGCCCGAAAAGTTTGTGGGACTAAACTGGCTCGTCTTACGCCTTTCTGCCGCTCCTTAGGCTACTCCGCATCCTTCCTCCTGCGGCCGTCATGGTTAATTTCATTTAAACCGTCATAAGCAGAAAGTACAACAAGGATATTTTTTCCTTTCTGTTTACGCTTTTTACGGAGCCTCCCACAAAGGCATAGATGGAGAGAGAGACGATATTATTAATTTCCTGGGCGGAGCAGTCTGGAAAAAAGGAGCAAAGAATTTCACATGTTGCAACATCCTACTCATGGGCTTCGAGGAATGTCATTAGGAGAAATTATTAACATTTCAAATTAGCTGATCTGTTTAATTATGCGTCAACGAGGGCGCTTTTCCTTCCTGTTCCTGCTTTCCCGCATAGATATTGCATAGATATAGATATTTAATAAGGGCTTTCCCTGACCCACATAGTACCACACACGAACCACAAATATACTCCGATATACACGTAAAGAGATATTTATAAGTACCTTATATTATATTAATGCTTTCGATTCACAATCTGACAATAGCTTTAGTTTAGTTTGGGCCTGCCCTGCCGTTCCGCGAAATTTTCTAAACTAAAAAATGGCGCTTACACTTTCTGAACTTCTTTTCGCTTTTGTTTTTTATGCGAAACTAAACACAATGAAATTTTTGTTTATTTTCTTTTCCTTTTTTCCGTATCTTTGTTTTTTGTATTTGATTTCCGTAGGAGCCTCTTACAGTATATTGATGAGGAGCTAAAGCTAAGGTAACTACACCCCCAAATATATTGCGAGCAGAACGAACATCGAACATCAAGGCTCTCGGTGACCCACTACCTGTGTCCCCCCACCACCCACCAAACAGATCAATTCGATCCCCAACCTAACCCCAGAAACTTCTCACTGTCACGCACACATCCTCATACGCACTCACACTTACACACGCTCTACATTTGGCTTTGATTTAGCGTTAAGTTAATTTCACATTCTTTCACTTCGATTCTGCATGAAAAGCAGCCGGAAAAGAAACCTCTCTAGCTTCTCACATGCATACACAAATGCAGAACTTAAACTCTTGAGTGTGTGTATATTTTTCATGCACTGAGTCCCTGGCATCCGTTAAGAGCTGCCCAGACCACACGGGAATATGTACAATTACTTGTGGAAGTTCCTCTGGCGGTGGCTGCAGAATTATTGTTATGAAACAGAAGCGGCAGCTCATCATGTGGGCCGGGCCGCCTTGGTTTATTAAGAGCGCACGTCCAGTCCTGGCCCAAAAATAGTAACATTTTCATTACTTTTTTTTGTTTTCGTCCTCCATTCATTTAAACCATATTAAGTTACGGCTGCTGTTCGGTTCTGTTCTGCCTCTCCATAATTTAGTTCTTCTTCTCCTCTCCTGGCATTCTTTGTTTACTGAACTTCTTCTTGGCCCGGTCTTTGTTTTGTCGTTTATTGTCTGGGGCGAGGCTTTGTTCTTCCCTCTTATTCCACCTAAAGTTTTGCCTTTGTCTATCGATAAAGAATGAAGGAAATGCAGAATGAGCAGAGCGGGAGGCAGGAGACAAGAGATGGGAAAAAATATAGAAGGAAGCTTGTGTATACGCACCGTACAACGCACGAAATTAACCCATCGATGGCTCAATTATATTCCGGGCCACCAGAAAGCGATTCTCAACTAATTTATACAGACCAATTGGTTAATATTTTGGGCCAAATTTATGCCCTGATGGTCCCCTAATGAAATCCGCTCGATTTGTCCTCTGTCCATGTCCGTGTCCACGTCCGTTCCCAAGTCCGTCTGTCCGCGCACCCTTTTCCCGTGTTTATTGTTTATTTATTTGATGTGTGTGCAAATGGGCGTCACATTGGTTTTATTGTTATTATTACGAGTATTTCTGGACATCCTAGTGGCTAGTGCAAACAAGTAATACCAGGGACCTGTGGAGAGTGAAGAGTGCCGCACGTAACTTTTTGCTGATTTTTCCTCCCAAATGGCACCGGTCCCTGGACTTTATTGGGCTCTGCACCTAAATTTGCAGCAACCTCCCATTGCCACAACTAGAGGCTCGTCCGACCTGTGATTGAAGATGGAGACGTAGAAAATACCCAGGAGCAGGAGGGCGTCTTGAGGGGATGAGAAATGATTGCCCCAGGGAATGGGGGAAAGCACGATGAAAAAGAAATTGCAATTATGTTAACATAAACTGAAAATTCACAAAACTAATTCGGAAAATGGGATTCCTCCGGTCATTTCCCGACGAATCACGACTGTCGGTTCCACCACTCTCTCCCCTTCAGCCGAGCAGCTGCTGAGATTTTCCAGTAAATTGTGCCCTGCCTCCTGTTTTTTTTTCGGCGTGTTTGCTCTTGTTTAATTTTGGGAAAATTGTTAGCATTTTGTTTTCGAATTAATTTCCCAAGCAATTCTTCGTTTTATTCGTTTTCCGTTTTATTTTTCTGGCTCTCCTCTCTCTCTGGGTTTTCACATCTCTGGCTCTGTCCTTCTTCTTTCCTTTCTGTTGCTGTTTCTGTGCATTCATGTGCGAGGCTATTTTCTATTCAAGCATTTCCATCTGCATGTGTGTGTATCTACATATGTATGTGTGACTGTTTATGTATTTATGTATGTACCATATGTATCTTTGAGCATTTGTATTTTGCATCTCATGCATAATTTATGGCTTCATATTAGTTTATTTATTTATTTTGCGCCCAATAAAAAAAGACACACACTACCGCCACAAAAAAAAAAACACAAAAACCAAATAAAGCCACCCCCTATGGGCGGTATGGAGAGGGCGTGAGCAGGAGAGCCGACGCGTCGGCTGGGCCGCAAATAATTTCATTAAAAGCGTAATCCGCTTACCCGCCCTCGCCCTCGACCCTAGGAGAGGGACAACTGGGCTAAGAGCTTTGCGGTTGCCCAAGAGAGTTTATCATTTCGATTGCATGCGCTGCACACAGATACACATACAGACATACAGACATACACATGCATGCCTGCTAAAAAGGATGCGTGAGCAGGAACAAGAACAGCATCCTCATCAGCAGAAAACCACCCAGAGCGCACAGGGAGAGGATGGATATACAGCGAAACTCTGCTCCCTGCTCTGTCCACAGAACACACTAGACATGTCAGACCACACCACTCAACCAACCAACCCGACCCCAGACCCCCGACCACCCCCAACAACAAAACCTCCGTTCACGCTCACAGAATCGAATGTTTTGCGCGGTTATCGATCGAAGAAGCTCAAACATGGCATTCTTTTCTCTCTCTCTCTCTCTCTTTCGCCTATCTTCTCTCTCTCTCGCATTCTCTCTCTCTTGACGTCTCTCCGCGTGTCTGCCGTGTCGCGATCCTGCTGTGCAGAGCCACTCTGCCATTGCACGACACGGGATTGAAAGATTCCATCGGCCCCGAGTGCAGCTGCTCCTCCCACAACGGCATTGTTGGAGTTGGAGGAGGAAGAGGAGTAGGCGGGGCAAACGGTAGCAGCAGCGGAGGTGGTGGCGGTGCCGGATATGGAAGCGGAGTCGGAGGAGGCAATCATCACCAGCACCACACCCAACATCATCATTACCATCAACTGCAGCAGCAGAAGCACCCACAGCCACAGCAACAGCAACCACATCAGCAACCGCATCAGCATCTCCATCAGCTCCATCAGCAGCAATCAACCACCGCTTTGACATCGTCCAGCACCAGCAGCGCCTTGGCCCTCTCGGCGGCCCCCAATTCCAATTGTAACTCGACCCACATTAGCTCCTCCGCCTCCCTGGCCTCGATGCCCGATCTGAGCTCCTATCTGGGCCTTGGGCTAGGCATAGGGATGGGCATGGGCCTGGGATTCTCCAATCTCCGCACCACAAGCATTGGCGATGGGAACGACGACGATCTAGTGGACGTTGACATTGCCATGAATAATGCTGCTCCAACGACCTCGGCTGCTGCCGCCGTCCCAGGTTCGGGAGCGGCCACGGGCACGGTTTCTGGGTCCGGCTCTGGGTGCTCCGCCTCTGCCGCGCATTACCTGAGGCACAGCAGCAATTATCGCTCCGCTGCGGCTGCACAGGCGTCTCAGAGCGCACATCCCGCCCCTTTGCCGCCGTCTGCGAATGCAAACGGGCAGGGGCACGGCCAGGCCCAGGGCCATGGGTTGATCTCATCCAGCTTATCGTCCTCCGCGTCATCAGCTTCGTTTTATAATCGCCTACTACTCCTCGATAATTCCAGCGGCGATGCAGTTGGTGGCAACGGTAGCGGCGGAGGTGGAGGCGTCGCCGGCGGTAGCTGCGGAGTCGGTGGCACCAACGGTGTCGAGGCCGATGTCACACCAACGCCTGTGACGCAATCGATCGGCGACGGCTTCGTGCATTCCAATTGCCCCACGGCCAGCCCCGGAGCAGCGGCGGCCGACGACGCCTCGACCAGCAGCTCTTCGCATCTCTACCAGAATCTGCTGAGAAGCAGCTCCGGAGAGACACCCGGCAGTGGGGCGGCAGGCTCCTCAGTGGGCACCAACTGTGATTACCGACACGAGAGCAACCAGGTGAGAGAGAGGTATGATAGCAAAGTGAACTCGCAGTAACCCCCGTGAACTCTCCTCTAGAATGGGTTGGAAGACTCGCCGCGGCGGCATAGCTCCATGGATCAGTTGATTGGGCTGCTCAATGACATGGGAAAAACTTCGCGGACACGCAGCCTAAGTGATGGCGGCACCCAAGACGACGAAGAAGGTGAGTGTACTAGGAAATGTCCAGAGGAGTCCTGTATAATTCCAATCTCATCCCATCACAGTGGAAAAAGAGGCGCAACCAGATCTGCTGAACAATACGCCTCCTGTACCGCCAAAGCGTTCGCACAAGCGTCGCCACACACCGCCCAGGCCCATCTCCAACGGACTGCCACCCACTCCCAAGGTGCACATGGGCGCCTGCTTCTCAAAGATCTTCAATGGCTGCCCCCTGCGGGTGCACTGTACCGCCTCGTGGATCCATCCAGAGACGAGGGACCAGCACCTGCTGATCGGCGCCGAGGAGGGCATCTACAACCTAAATATGAATGAGCTCCACGACGCGGCCATCGATCAGCTGTTCCCGCGCCGCACCACCTGGCTGTATGTGATCAAGGACGTGCTGATGAGTCTGTCTGGTAGGTGTCCTCTTGGCTTGGCACTTATTTCGTCGGCTATCGCTAACAATTCCATTGCAAATTGCAGGCAAATCCTGCCAGCTGTACAGGCACGATCTGGTGGCTCTGCATTCCAAGCAGACGGTGCGATTCTCGCTGCACATGAACAAGATCCCCGAGCGGCTGGTGCCCAGGAAGTTTGCCCTCACCACCAAAGTGCCCGACACAAAGGGCTGCACTCAGTGCTGCGTCACAAGGAACCCCTACAACGGATATAAGTATCTGTGCGGGGCGACGCCCTGCGGCATCTTCTTGATGCAGTGGTACGATCCGCTAAACAAGTTCATGCTATTGAAGCAGTGCGAGTGGCCAGCCATCAGCATCCTAGGGGGAGGCCATGGCTGTGTGCAGAACGGACACACGCCCGTCTTCGAGATGATCATCACGCCGGAGCTGGAGTACCCAATTGTGTGCACGGGAGTGCGCAAGGCGATGAACGGCTGCCTTAAGCTGGAGCTGATCAACATGAACAGTTGCGTGGTGGAAACTGCTTCGGCAGAGGGCATGGGCAAAGGAGGTCTAAACGGGCTTTGTCTTGCAGGTGCCAGCTGGTTCCACTCGGAGGACCTGGAGTATGACGCCATGGCCACGATGGTGCCGCGACGCGACCTCCTGAAGGTGGTGCGTGTGCACCAGGTGGAGAAGGACGCCATTCTCGTCTGCTATGGCAATGTGATACAGGTGGTCACGCTCCAAGGCAACCCCAAGCAGCATAAGAAGATGGTATCGCAGCTTAACTTTGACTTTAACGTGGACAGCATTGGTAAGATATGGCACATGGCACACCTCTCCACTTCCACACTTGACCGCATGACTCCATTCCAGTTTGCTTACCGGACAGCGTTTTGGCATTCCACAAGCACGGCATGCAGGGGAAATCGCTGCGCAATGGAGAGGTGACGCAGGAGATCAAGGACATGAGTCGCACCTACCGGCTGCTGGGCAGCGACAAGTAAGCATGATTCATTCCGTTTGTAGCGATGTCCGATTCACGGTCGACTCACATTTATGTATTCTTCAGGGTTGTTGCCTTGGAGAGTCAGCTGCTCAGAACTGGCTCCCTGGGCAGCGAGGAGGGACACGATCTGTACATTTTAGCCGGTCATGAGGCCAGTTACTAGACGCTCGCGTAATCCACTTGTTATATTTTAAATATAATTCGCTACACAATACAGAAACTTTTCAAGGCAAGCAGGCGCCGTCGTCGTCAACTAATAAATGTAATTTAATTACTCGTAGAACTAAGAATTGGATTACTGATGATAGATTGTAGATGATAGAGCCTCACATGTCGAGAGTTCGATAGCTACTTAGCGCAATTTTTCCGCACGTAGAGGCAGCAGCATCCATAAGCAAGATATCCAACATATGTATGTAACATCCAATACACAGTCTTAGTCCCAATTCTTTGCGCTATACTTTGCCGATACACTCGATATAAATACATACATACAATAGATACTCGTAAGTCTCACAGTCCACGTCTGCCCATTGATTCCGTTGTAGCTATATTTTTATATTACAAAGAAATGCTTTAATTTATACAGCTAACTTTAATGACCTACGGTAATCAATAGTTATGTTAGAAGTTTGTGTACACGCTTCACAAAGCCAATAAATACGTTTATAAATAGTCAGCTGCGGGCGAAAGCAAGAGAATCCAATTATACATATAAATATATATACACACAATTATACATTACGAGATCCACTAAGGCAATTAGAAAATAATAAATATTTCATAGTCTTTAGCAATTGTAAATCGCAATGTATTTAGCTGGTTAAATCTGCTTTGAATTGGCTCAATACCGAAAGGCAGGAAGCAAGCGAACTGTTAAAAATGGATTGGATAGTGAGAAGAGGAGGAGAAAACGAAAAGTATGTAGGAATGCAAGGCAGATACGGTTTGTTGGGAATCACAATTAGAAAGTAAGACTTCTAAACTATTAACACACAAAATTACATGCAAATTGAACATATAAATTAAATGCCTGAAAAGGCCCCTATTTGTATGCTCAACTGATTGTCATAGTCACGGTTTTGGGCTTTATGAAATCAAAACAGAAAACTTTCCGAGCAGCACATTTTGTCGTCTTCAGTTGTAAAAATATTCTCTAGACCTTAAGTTATTTAGTTCTTATGACAAAGCGTAAAACCGAAAATTATAAACTAATACAGAAAAAGAAAACAGAAACATAAAATTGTTGAACTCTAGTTTAGTGCAAAAATAAAAAAGTATTTGAAAAAACACTATAAAGCAGTTTAGTTTTGAATTTGGCGCCCATCGGAACGCGCTATGACATTTCTCACCACTGCGTCTGCCACACTCAAACGCATTAGGTCATTTTTTCTTAGGTCGGTCTCACGTGTTCATCACATTGTTTACCAATTTCAAGTTCAAGATGCCGTTTAAAGTTCCTCCCTGGGAAGATGGTGCCGAAATAATTGACTTTATGCCCATGAGCTCGGCAGGAAACGGAGTTGGTACCACAAAGAAGTCAAAGAAAAAGAAACCCAAAAAGAAGAAACCAAAGGCGACAGCTGAGGCTGGGACGGAGACGGCAGCGGCCAATAGCGGATTTCGCTACAGACCAGGTGTGGGACCATTGGCTCCGCCAGGAAACACCTCGTCCGACGATGAGGCAGATGACGAAATGCGGGCCATGCACAAAGTGCGATCTGGACGCGTGGAAAAGCAGCGTCCTCCAGTCCAAACGACGAAAGGTGGCAAGAAACAACTGGCGATGAAGCCGGAGCTGGCGCAGGCTGCACTGGAGGCAATGGAAGTGACGCCAACATCCGCTGAGGCACCCTCGCTGGCAAATAAGCTGCAGACGGAGCTGCTGGGCGGACGCTTCCGCTACATAAACGAACAACTCTACACAATGAACAGCCACAAGGCGGAAGCCATGTTCCGCTCAGATTCCTCCGCTTTCGATGCCTACCATGCTGGCTACCGACAGCAGGTGGAAAAGTGGCCAGCGAATCCGCTAAATCGCATAATCAAGACTGTTAAACGACTGCCCAAGACGACAATTATTGGTGACTTTGGCTGTGGAGATGGCAAGCTGGCCCAGTCCTTGCCCAACAAGGTATACTCTATGGACTTGGTCGCTTCACGAGGCGACATCATAGCGTGCAACATTACGGACACTCCGCTGGAACCGCAATGCCTGGACGTGGCTGTATATTGCCTCTCGCTCATGGGTACCAACCTGAACGACTTCTTCCTGGAGGCGAACCGCGTGCTCAAGCTCCATGGAAACGTCTACATAGCGGAGATTCAGTCGCGCTTCGAGGATGCCCGAGCCTTTGTACGCAGCGTGAGCGCCTGCGGTTTCGATCTCGTCAAGAAGGATGTGGCTGTCAACTATTTCTATTTCTTTCACTTCAAGAAAATGCGGCATGTGGACAAAGCGGTCAAGCTAAAACCGTTCTCGCTCAAGCCTTGTCTATACCGCAAGCGCTGAGGATACAGGTAGCAATTGCATACATTAATTAATGTAGAAATGGAAAGCCGCAATAAAATAAAATTTTTATTTAACTCGAACCAGCTGAATTTGGAATGTACAATGGTTTTAAAACCATTAAAACAAACGAAAACTGTCAAACCTAGGCAATATATTAAAGCAATTAGTGTAATGTTATACCATGCGTTCAAATGCACCAAAACACCGTACCTTTTGAATGAATTTACCATGGGCTGGCAAACCACCCTCAAAGAGGGCCGAGAGAAACTAACCAAGAGAGCGCAGTGCTCAGTTCTGCGTTTCAGTGGAGTCATTTCTTCAATATCTCAACCATTTACTCTCCCAAAATTTTTCAACTGCGAATCCGAACGGTTGGGTTTGGGCCTTCTCGAATATTTTTAAAGACGGTACGTTTCGGGCTGCCAACATTTGGCCGAGAAGCATCTGCGATTCGATCCCAAGATCCCATTTGCGAATAGAAAAGCGCGCCATTCGACAGTGTGTTTAAAAATAAATTGGAAATTAATTTGTTAGCTACCACTTTTCGTGCAGTTTGCTAGTTCTCCCACTCGCCCACGCCTATATTCCCACCCTCGCTCCCCCTGTCTATCGCTCTCTCTCTCTCTCTCTATCTCTCTCGTTTACTCCAGTCTCTATTACTCACTCAAACTCACGTAAAATTTTCAACAGGTATTCAACGACAACAACAAATTATCTTTTTTCGCGTTCAAAAGAAAAAAGTGTCCAAGAATTTGTTTATTTGCATAGGCTTGTGAGAGTGCAGTAGGAATCGAATCGAATTGAAAATCGGGAAAAGCAGTGGTGAAAAGTGAAAACAACAAAAAAGAAACAGCAAAAACCACAACCACAGAGTATCTTCATCTACGTATTCTTCCCGTGGATTATCAAAAGGATTCTAGAGCGACGACTTCTTGGTGAGTATCTGAAAGTTCAACCAGAATCGCGCCTTCTGCTGGGCTGCTTACATTTTTTTTGGGCTGTGGTCGGGAGTTTTCTGTGGCTTTCGTCTCCGTCCCATTTTATGCTTCCGACACACACAGATACACTTGGGCCGGAATGACTTCATAGCCACTTACTCACAAACACATGCACGGGTTGAGAGAGACGCTCTCCGAAAGAGCCAAAGAGAGGGAGAGAGTTGTTTTTTGGCCACAGTGTTGAGCGCTGGTATCTGTAACTGTGTCTGTGAGCTATTAAGCTTTCCGAGTATCTTTTAGCACGGTATTCTTTCCATTTCTTGTTTTGTCCACTGTACGTGTATTCGTCCCACATTGTTGCTGCTGCTTTTGTGTCGCCTTACTCCACTTTTCCTTTACCGAATTTTTTGTTTTCCTCAGTTCTTTCGCATTTTGATATTTGCTGTGCCGCCTGAAAGAAGCAGAAGATGGCATTGCAACAGGGGAGGGTTCCAATTGGGCAGTGGTAGTCAAGGAAACGTTCCACAACACCGATCAGATACAAATGTATCTGTAAGCAAACGCTGCTCGTGTGCGTATCTATACATAGACGCGTTTGTAAATTTGTGAATGCGACGTATTTCACAGGGTGGATAGATCTCATCCAAGTGCGTATTCCATTAGTTCCACGTCCCTCGCTTTATAGGGGCTACCATGTCGACGTCACTGGGACAGAAATAAATCGCCTGGTGCCATGGGAACCGATTGCCGTCGTGCAGGTTTTCAACTGCTTATCAACTATTGAGCGGATTTTCGCATTGGCATTTTGATATCGGTGGCCTAGCAGAGCAGGGAAACTGCAAAGCCTTTAGCCGTACTACTAGGGAACACGGCTAGAATGTGGCTGATAAGATAGGCACCAAAACAAAGGCCATGCGTGTGTGTATTTATGAGTTATGAATGGCAGGTGACTGTGACTTTACCCCTGCTTCCTCAGCCATGCGTCATCGAAGACCAAGAACGATTTTCACAATCCCCGGAAAACCTGGGGCGTTGACTTGCCAACGGTTCTTTGGGGGGGGGCATGAAAAGCAGTTGTTTACGTGGCTGCGACCGCGAAAGGGGCTGGAGAGTTGTGGGCTTTGACCCAAATAGTTGTAGACATTAACATAAAGACTTCTTCATGCAATGTAAATATGTTTGTATATAAATGGAAGCCAGACAGAGAGAAGTAGAAGAGAGAGAGAGAGCAAAGGAGAGCTTGCATTAGAAACCGGTTTCAAGCCAAGAAATTGGCTGCACAGCAGACAAACAGATAAAGCAGCCGAGCAAAGCAAACGAGCGATAGACCTGGGGCTACGTTGGGGCTGTGGCGGGGAGTACCAGCGACTTAATGCTAATAACTGTACAACAAAAACGAGCTACGAAGCAAGTAGAAAATTATCATAAAATCCGAGCATACTCGTAGTGAGGGACAGCGAGAGCGAGAGCGCTAGCTAACTACTTGGCAGCACGCAAACATGGCCAAACTATAAAAGTCGGAATCAGAGTCGAGTCAGAGAGTCGAATGGAATGAAAAACCTGAATTCGTTCTCGTTCGTGAAGAGCCAACAAGGTGTGTCTGGGAGCGTTAGAAGCTCACCAGAGAGCGTTCGCGAGAGAAACTGAGAGCAGCTCAAAGAGAGCGGAAGAGCAGACCAGGCTTTAAATTTATTGTAAACTGATATTTTAGGACACGGGCCAGATCGCATCGAAACTTCAAAATCTCTAGCGGAGACGGGAAGTCCACGAGTAAAGTAAAGAGTAAAGTAAATCGAAATGTATGATAACTCCTCATCAAAGGCGGATGGTACCTGTATTCTTAGCACTCTCTACCGCCCCCCATTTTCTCACCGCTCTGACGTGGAGCCAGTCTAATCTGTCAAAAAAGTCAATCAGACGGAAGGCAACTTTTCCAGCTACTCTGCCCTCTTCCCTGCGGCCCCATCATTTTGCATTCTATTTTTATTTGTTGTCGCATCGATTTTTGCTTTTGTTCTGGAACGGCGGTCGTGTCGCTGGTGGGGCTATAGGTCTATGATTTATGTGAAAAGCGCTGAAGTGGAAAAAATTCTCCACTGTGGCGGCTGTTTACTAGCCGAGCCTTTCCCCCAGCCCTACTTGGGCTCCGCCTCCCCAATTGCGGTGATGTGGGTGCGGCAGTGGCAGCAGCAGCATCAGCCACAGCAGCATCGACTGCATTCAGAGTTCATTGGCCAAGTAGACTCGAGTGCCTTAAATAGCTATTGACAGAGTTCGGGCGTGTGGGGGAGGGTTTCTCGCGGTTATGCTAGCTGTCAGCGAACGGCGATCAGAGCAGGCTGGAAATTAGCCAAGCGACACTGGGTAAAGCTGCCACTTGAGCTGACCAAAAGTAGCAGGCGATGACAAGAAAAGACGGGTTTCTTGTCATAGCCTCAAGTATGTACGAGTATGTACATATGTGTACATATCTGCTCGGTCCACTTTTGACGATGGCCGGCGGTTACACTTCGCTCGATACGATACGGTTGCAAAATGGAACGGATCTGGCTTATCGAGGCCTTTAAGTCGTTTTCCTGTATGGCTCACACAAATGCAATTCAGTTCCGTTTTGCCGATAATTCGCTGTGTTTCCCAAGACAGAACACACCCTTTGGCCGACTGTATTGATTGACCTACATAAACGCACGTCCAGAACGCGCGAATGTTTACGCATTCCTCATTCCATTTCCACCCGCTCGCACCCCAAAAAATATCCAAAAAGAAATCAGAGAGACCTCATGAACTCTCCATCATACATTCAGCCAGGAAATTCAGTCGAACTGTCAGTGTTGGGTGAGTCCAGAAAGAGCTTTCAAGTGAAGATCTCTTTAGTATTTGAGCTCTGCTCGCGGAAGCGGGGCCATGTTTATGGACCGACGGATGCAAAGCACTAGCCTGTCAAAAAAGCACTTTGTATAGCACATTTTAAATACAATTTATTGGCAACGGTTCGTTGATTTTCGAAAATGGCAAGTCCGACAAGTTTTGTGCATTTTACCGGCGAGCAAAAGCGTAATGCTGATGGGCTTAAAGCGAAAGTTCATTCACAATCGGGCGCTGGCGGCGCGTTGAACGGGGATCTAGTGAAGTACATTTTGTCAAGCGAATTTCCAACCGAGGATAGTCGGGGCTTCATCTGCTCTGCATACCCTTCAAACTGACATGACGGCACCGCCAGGTGACATAATGTGATGACAGAATGTGAGTGGAATGTGAGAAGTAAATAAAATGAGTAATAAGTAGAAATACACCAGTTATCCGTCATTTATACTCTCCCCCCTCGGCATGTGTTTGTCCAGGGCCAATGCAAATTGAATTTGATTTAAGTTGTATTAAATGAAACTTAATTAAGGGGGAGCAGTAGACGCAGCAGACTACGCCCAGAAGCACTCAGAGTGGCAGTTTCAATTGGGATGACCGGCGGGGGCAGATGGCTAGATGGTATGGAATGAAATGGAATCTTTTGTTGTTCTGTTCATTGTACTTGTTACTTTCATAATATACAGAAATATTATTCTATATGTATGCACGGCAATGTGTGCCGCATTGTTGTCTGTCCATCTGTGTCTTTTTCATAAAGATGCATGTATCTGTTCGCACCCCGACTACAACATCGTCATGATTCGAAAATCGCCCATAGACCAGAGCCTAGAGACCAGAGCACAGGCCAGCTTCTGCCTCTCGAACTTGATGAATTTCACCTCGACCTCCTTCAATTGAAGCGAATGTTCTTCTGTTTTTGGGTGTCGGCACCTCTTGCTAATATTTCAATATACTCTAGAAATAGCTCTCGATTGGTGGCACAAGCTGACGCTGAGACGATGATGTCATCGTTAATGCGATACGAAAATAAGGAATTTTCTCGTACACAAGTATTACATGGTACGAGTAAGTATTCCCTATCAACAATTGCAAGATTTGTTTTGGTTTTGCTGCCAAACTAATTTGCAATCTGCCACCCAAAGATAATGACGCCGCTGATTCACCGACGATGGTCACTCAAGTGTGCCCTCAGTCACATCTCTCTATCGCTCTCAATCGAATCCAAGCGAGTTGCAATTACCAACAGCAATCTAACAATTGCAACCTCCTCTCGATGA